TACTGTTATGCAGACTCCTGCATTGGTGTAGAAATGATATAAATAATATCAGCGCACTTGTGAAAGAATATTAGACTCACCAGTTGACGTGTATTGGACGCTTGGCATGATTTGTTTACTGTTGAACTTTGGTAAAAATCGAACATTTCTGGTACTTTGAGCTCAATTTAAGGTACTTTTCATTGTAAAACCAGTCAAAATCATCTCAGTTTCTGTAATATATCTTCCATTCTATAAAATGAGACCAAAAAAACTAGAATGCAACAATAAATACCATACAAAAATACAGTGCAAAGTTGCTGTTTTAATCCAAAAACATGGTCAAAGTTTTTTTTTTCTCATTACGCACTGTGTGCTGCAGGATTTTTTTTATACTGCGCACACTGACCACATATACCCATTCTTTCATATGTAGGCATACCAGCTTTCTCTCACTAGATTTGAGGGCGCTAGAATTTAGGCGTACTAGTACGTCAAAAACCCTGGGTCGTAAGACGTACTAGTATGTCCGAAACCCCCAAAGGGTTAATCTTGTCTCCCAGGATGCAACCCACACCAGTCAACTAACACCCAGGTGAACAGGAAAAAATACCTGGAACTAGTGCTCATATTGGTGAATTTAACCCTTTGGGGGTTTCGGCCGTACTAGTACGGCTTACGACCCAGGGTTTTTGACGTACTAGTACGCCTAAATTCTAGCGCCCTCAAATCTAGTGAGAGAAAGCTGGTATGCCTACATATGAAAGAATGGGTATATGTGGTCAGTGTGCGCAGTATAAAAAAAATCCTGCAGCACACAGTGCGTAATGAGAAAAAAAAAAAACGACTGTGTTTTTGAATTAAAACCGACTTTGCACTGTATTTTCGTATGGTATTTATTGTTGTATTCTAGTTTTCTTGGTCTCATTTTATAGAATGGAAGACATATTACAGAAATTGAGATGATTTTGACTGGTTTTACAATGAAAAGTACCTTGAAATTGAGCTCAAAGTAGCAGAAATGTTAAATTTTTACCAAAATTCAAAAGTAAACAAATCATGCCAAGCGTCCAATACACATCAACTGGTGAGTCTTATATTCTTTCACAAGTGCTCTGATATTATTTATACCATTTCTACACTAATGCAGTAGTCGGCATAACAGTAAATCTTATATTTTTTTGTTGAGAATAAAAATTCAAAGTGGAAAGCCAAAGAAATATAAGAGGGGCCTGGGGCTGTAACTAACGAACAGAGAACTTGTTAATTTTGTGCCAGGAATCTTTCTTGTTTATTCTGGACCCTATTCGGAAATTGGCATCTTTTGAAATTTGTGTGAAATTGGCAAAATTGCTAAATTCTGACCACTTTATTGGATAGTTGAAATCGGTAAATGGGTGATTTCTTGTACTCATTCGATAGAAAAAATGGAGTTCTAGCGAAATAGTTATGATTTTTGTCGACTAGTACACTTGAATTGGCCAAAAATAGGGCTCAAAATGGGCAAAATCGCTGATACATGAACATCGTCAAGACCGCTAACTTTGCAAGAGCATAATTCCGTAAGTTTTCCATCAAATTTCATACTTTTGGTGTCATTATGATCGGTAAAAGATTCTCTATCTTTTCATAAGAATTTTTTTTTTTTTTTTTTTTTTTTTTTTTTTTTTGAAATTTGGCCGACCCTGAGAACAAGTCTCTGAGAGGATCTGTCGACCCCCAAAGGGTTAAGGACCCCAATGGAAATAAGTTAGACAGTCCTCGATGACTCACTGACTTTCTTGGGTTATACACAAATAACCAGCACATAGAAGAGAGGAGCTTACGACGATGTTTCGGTCCAACTTGGACCATTTACAAAGTCACACTAACGAGGAGAGCAGGATTGGTATATATAGGCAGGAGGTGGTAATGGAGGTGGAAGGAAGTAGTAGTGGGGAGGTAGTAAGAGTAGGAGGGGCCAGTCAAATACTAAGAGGAGCACTGCAAGGGAGCTGGTGCCCACAGAGGGTAAGAGCAAGAACACCGAGGGAAGGGGCGGAAATAAATAAGTAAATAAAGATGGAACAAATACACAGGGCAGGAGAAAAAGAAAAAGGAAAGGGGAAGAGGGAGAAGAAGAGAGGGGGAATCAGGTTAGGTCACAAGTGTTCGGAAGTTTGGAGCATTTTACAATGTAGTGGGAGAGGAAGGCATCTACAGAGATGAAGCCGGGACTAAAATTCATACAAGGAAAGTTGTGTATTAGGGTGGATTCAACCAGACAGCAGGTTATTTGTGTATTATTCCAGTCACGGTATTGTGCCTTTTTTTTTTTGTTATTTTTTCTTGGGTTATCCTGAGTGGCTAACCCTCTGAGGTTAATTGTTTCTTGTTAAACCACACCAACAAGAGTCTCTTCACATCTTCGAGTAGTACAGCTGACAGTGGTGCAGCAACAGCTGACGGTGGTGCAGCAACAGCTGATGGTGGTGCAGCAGCGGCTGACTGTGGTACAGCAGCAACTGACCGTGGTATGACAGTATTTCGATAGTATTTCTCACCCTTTTTACCACAGGGTTGGCACTGGAAGCTTCTTTGGGTCCATGGTGACTTGTTTAGCAGTTAATACAAAATGTATCGAATGTATGCACGAAACTGGCCACCCTGGCTTGTAAACAATGACGGCAGGGCAGGTGAGGTGCTCAGACTGGACGGACAGGTTCAGGATGAATCACGTTGGGCGAGTTTTTTTTATTATTAGCCAGGCCAAAATTTTTACTCTCAAACGCTTCGTTGTGCGGATTTAATGTTATGCAATGCGTTCGTTAGCCAAGGGTCCACTGTATTTCTTATGGGGAAAATTAAATTGGATAACGATAAAATCGATTAAAGACAAGCTCTCTGGAACAGATTAATATCGTTAACTGAGAGTCCACTGTAATTGAATCATACCTATTAAAAACACACAAAACAGACTGGAAGGTGTAGGGGAAGCCTTACCTGTCCTCAGAAATATTGGCAAACATAGAATATTTCTGCTTTTTGAGGCTAATTTCAAGCTACTTCTGATTCAAAAATCAACCAAAATCATCTCTGTTCCAGTAGTATCTCTTCCTTTCTATCAAATGATACCAAGATAGTCAATAAAATTAAAAACACCTCAAAGTGTTAACCCTTTGACTGTGTCAGTTGTTTATATACGTCTTACGAGGTACCGTGTTTGACGTATATATACAGTGGACCCCCGCTTAACGATCACCTCCCAATGCGACCAATTATGTAAGTGTATTTATGTAAGTGCGTTTGTACGTGTATGTTTGGGGGCCTGAAATGGACTAATCTACTTCACAGTATTCCTTATGGGAACGAATTCGGTCAGTACTGGCACCTGAACATACTTCTGAAGTGAAAAAAAATATCGTTAACCGGGGTCCACTGTACTCATAAATTCTAGCGGCTTCAAGTCAAGCAGGAGAAAGCTGGTAAGCCCACATGTGAGAGAATGGGTCTGTGTGGTCAGTGTGCACCATGTAAAAAAGATCCTGGAGCACGCAGTGCATAATGAGAAAAAACTGACCGTTTTTTTTTTAATTAAGATGCCGACTTTGTGGTCTATTTTTGTTGAGTATTTATGGTTGTATTCTTGTTTTCTTGGTCTCATTTGATAGAATGGAAAACATATTATAGAAATAGAGGTGATTTTGATTGGTTTTACTATAAAAAAAAAACTGGAAATGGAGCTCAAAGTAGGGGAAATGTTTGATTTTTGCCAGTGTTCAAAAGTAAACAAATTATGTCATTGTCCAATAAATGTCCAACTAGCCATTCTAATATGCAGTCATGAATGGGTTGACATTATTTGTACAATTATTACAGTATTGCAGTATTCTGCATAACAGTAAATCGTCTATTTTTTGTTTGAATAAAAATTCAAAATAGAAAGCAAGAGTAATATCAGAGGGGCCTGGAGACATGACTGATGAACAAAGAAAATGTTATTTTAGAGCCAGGAATGTCTGCATTGTTCATTCTGGACCTTATTTTGAAATTGTCATATTTTTTAATTTTCATGAAACTGGCCAAATTGCAAATTTCTGACCATGTTATTGGGTAGTTGAAATCAGTAAATGGGCAGTTTCTTGTACTCAGTTGATAGAAAAAACGGAGTTCTAAAGAAATAGCTATGAGTTTGGTCGACTGGAACAATGGAATTAGTCGAAAATAGGGCTTCAATTGGGCGAAATCGCCTATTTGTAAATACCGCTGAGGTCGCTGACTTCATGAGAGCGTAATTCCATCAGTTTTCCATCAAATTTTGTTTTTTTTTTTTGGTGTCATTACAATCGGGAGAGGATTCTCTATTATTTCATAAGAATTTTTTTTTTTTTTTTTAATTTGTGACACCAGGAGACACCTCAGGATTGGGGGTTGTGACAGTCAAGGGGTTAAATGAAACATAAAGTTGGAGTTTTGCTTTTCCCATCATGCTCTGCATGGGGCAGTATTTTTTTTATACTGTGCACACATGCTGCACAAACCCATTCTCTCATATCTAGGCCAAAATGTATCGCTCGAAACTTATCAGAGGGAGCTGTACTCACAATGTTGATTTACATGAGGGACCTTAGCATCAGTAACGCAGATCTATGTGATGGACATTGAAAGAGTTAAAGAATAGCTCAAGACTACATGCAGAGAAATAGTAAAATAAATATAATTTGTTGTATATATTGAAAATTTTCTCTTCAGTATATTTTTGTTACTGTTTTTTGCATGCATAAATATTATTTTAAGGCATTTTCTTAATCATATTAATATATTGAGTTTGCTCTTATTGCAGTACCAATTCATGTATTAAGTCATGAATGACTTTATAGTAACTGTAGTGATAGTAATAAGTGTTGTGCTTGAATTTAATTTTCCTCTATGCCAACTTTAGCACAGTAGTGTCAGGCTCAGTTAAACAAATTCCCTTTAATTTATGTAATTAGTAAATTACATTGTTTTGAATTTAGTTCCCATCTCTCATTTTTTCTCAGACAGTGATGGATGAAAGTATGGTTAAAGAAGAAATGGTCGATGAAGATAGTAATACATTACCAGACACAGGGTTGGACTACATGACTTTTGGATCAGACACAGGTGTAGATGATAATGAAACAGAAGAAGATCCTTCAGGTTTAATGATACATACCAAATATGGAGAGCAGTGTCACAACCAATCTTTTCTGCAGCGACACTTTCAGCAGTCTGAAAATAGTTCTGAAGTTCAGCCAGGACCTTCACTACTACAAGGGGTATGTTTTTGGTATATATATTGCCTTTTCTTTCATAAAGTGCTTATGGATTTTCTCTGGATCAGTCATGCCTATGTCATTACATTCTCTATAGAAGAAATGAATATTTAGGGTCTCTGTTAATCACTGTCATACAATACCCCATGCTCCTTTATGTTCGTAAATTTCGTAATCCATATTTTTGCTTGCTGTCTTGTCACAGTATTCATGGTTGTCTCTTCTGGATCATGTACCTATACACTACCATTGAAAAACCTTTGAATGCTTTTGAGAATTTTCCTACTCTCACAGCCCAACCCTGAGCTGACTATTTTCTTCTATCTGTACCACCTAAGAACTTCATCTGTCATTTGCTATCACTCCAACACTTTCCTTTATTGCCTTCATCTAACTGTTAATCATCAGACTCCTATCATAAACTTTCATCTCTCTTTATTTTTCTGTTTTCATGTCCTTTGGGTTTTGAACATGAATTGTATACCTGACCTTCATATATGGACATGTAGTGCTTTCACCAGTCTTTTTTTATTGATGATTATGTAAATTTGTTAACCCTAGAATAGAAAATTATACTGTTCAATTTTTCCATTCTTTAGCCATAAACAGAACAAAGAAGCCCCCTATATCTTCCCTGACACCATTGATCTCCAGTATTTCAAGAGGGGTGTGTGTTGGGGGGGTATGGGGTGTAGGTGTGGGTACATAGGTGTGTACCCATCTTTGTATTGCAGGGGTTGAGTCGCTGCTCCTCGCCCTTCCTCTCTACTTACCGCTTGTATGATTCATTCCCTTCTCTCCTCATGGGACTTACTGTTCTTGCTCATAAAACTATGTATGGAGCCTACTTCTACTTCATTGAGGTCATTCCATTTCCTGACTACCCTGAGACTGAAGAAATGTTTCCCAAGATCCCTGTTGCTCATCTGTGTTTTTAACTTGCATGTTTGCCCTCGAGTACTTGTTTTCCTGCCTTTCAAACAATTTGTCAATTCCTCTTGAGTATTTTGTATGCTGTTATATATCTCCCTTGGTTTTCTCTATCTTCCAATGTCATTAGATTCAATTATTAGCCTTTCTCTAGAGCTTGTACCCCATAGCACTGGAACTAGTCTCATTGAATACCTCTGCACTTTCTCTGGTTTCTGAAGTTTATTTTTAAAGTGTGGGTTCTATGCCAGAACTGCACATGCCAAGATGGGCCAGACATATATTGTATAAATGGCTCAGAATGACTTTTGAGATTTTTGAAGGCTACTCTTGGATTTGCCAGACAAACACAAAGGTTATTTGGTTGATGTAAGCCTCTGGTGATATACTGGACACTATGCTCACTCTTGGGTCTCTCTCTCTGAGTCAGGTATGCAGTCTCTATCCCCCAAGTCTATAATACATGTCTGATCTTGCCCCTTTCCCTATCTTCATAACCTTGCATTTTTTGGGGTTGAATTCAAGTAACCACATATCTGAACAATCTTGTGGTTTGTCCAGATCCATTGCAGCTTTTTCTTCTTCTAATCTGCTTTTATTCTCATTAGTTTTACATCAGCAAAAAGGGATACATTGGACTCAATCCCATCTGGTATGTTATTTGCATAATTCAGAAACACAGGTTCTAATACCTATACACAAATAACCCGCACATAAAAGAAGCTTCTCTCTTTTATGTGCGGGTTATTTGTGTATTGTTCCAGTCACGGTATTGTGCCTTTTTTTGTTTTCTAATACCTATCCTTGAGGAAAAATTGTTACTCTTCCCTATTCAGACATTTCCCAGACAATCACTCTGTTTCCTTTCCCTAAGGTACTCTTTGAGCCAATGGAGTACGTTCCCCGTTATTCTTGCTTCCACCTCAAGTTTTTGCCCCAGTCTCTTGTGTAATACAGTATCTTAGTCATAAGTCTAGTTGTAGATTCAATATAAATCTTATATAATTTTACTCAGAAAATCTAGTTTGTAAAATTACTCTCATCCTATGATTACAGGCATAGATCCTGATGTAAACTTTTTACAAAATGAATTACATGAATCAACCAGTAACTGTAATTATACAACAGCAGACCAAGCAAAGACATTACTCAGTGCAAACAATAACATAACCATCTTTAACTACAATGTCAGATCCTTGAGCAAACATTATGATGACCTCACAGCATTACTCAGTTCCCTTCATTCCAATATATCCATCATCACACTCACAGAAACCTGGCTTAAGCCTGATATTACAGATTTCTATGCCATTCCTGGCTACATGGCCATACACAACTGTAGAACAGACCAGCAAGGGGGAGGAACAGCTATATACTATTCAAATCAACTCGAATGTATCAATAAATCTTGCACAAAGGATGAACATGGAGAATTTTATCATAGCCAAATTTTAAATCAAAAGACCTGCAAAAACCCCCTCACAGTTATAAACATCTACAGAGTACCACAGTCAAACATTTATCACTTTAGTGAAAAACTAGGAAACATGATTACTGATGCACACATGAATAAAGACAACCTACTACTAACAGGTGATTTCAACATAAACATACTACACGACCAGGACCCCCCAAGTAACCGAATTCACAAACACAATGAGTACTGCCTGTTGCTACCAACAATATCTAAACCTACAAGACTCTCCGAGACAAGCATCTCCTTAACCCTTTGACTGCCGCGGCCGTATATGTACGTCTTATTACGAGGTACCGTGTTTGACGTATATATACTCATAAATTCTAGCGGCTTCAAATCAAGCAGGAGAAAGCTGGTAGGCCCACATGTGAGAGAATGGGTCTGTGTGGTCAGTGTGCACCATATAAAAAAAATCCTGGAGCACGCAGTGCATAATGAGAAAAAAAAACTCCGACCGTTTTTTTTTTTAATTAAAATGCCGACTTTGTGGTCTATTTTCATATAGTATTTATGGTTGTATTCTTGTTTTCTTGGTCTCATTGATAGAATGGAAAACATATTATAGAAATAGAGGTGAGGTTTGATTGATTTTTCTATAAAAAGAACCCAGAAATGGAGCTCAAAGAAGGGGAAAAAGTTTGAGTTTTGCCAATGTTAGAATGATAACAAATTCTCACTACAGGCAACACACTCCACCAATATTCAAAACACTCAACCTACTCACCATACAAAAACATCCATACTTATTATTGCACCTATTACATACATAGAACACTTAACTCGGATATTAACCCTCCCCTCAAACATCTCCTTGCCAACCTCAATAGAACACATGACCATAACACAAGGCACAGATCACTCTTTGATGTTCCTCGTGTCCATCTCACGCTATGCAAAAACTCAATGCACATAAAAGGCCCTAAAATCTGGAATTCATTACCTGTAAATATAAAAGAAACACTACCTGTTTATAAATTCAAGTCACTTCTCAAAGTTCACTTACTCACTCAAAACCAAATAAATACTGAATAACTGAACCTTATAAATTGTATATCCAAAATGTTACTCACAATTATATCACATGAATGTTAAACCTAGGACCCAATCTAACTTTGTTATTTTTTTAAATACACTACCTAACAGAATACTCCATTCTACTGAATGAACAGCAATGCATGCAACCATATGACCTGTCTTTGTAATACTCATTTGTGCTTTATAGTTATCTGTTTACAATAATGTCTTATCACTGATTTCATCATTGCTTAGTTAATCGTAAGTTAATTTTAAGCCAGCCCGTAATGCTATGCATATAAGTGGCTTTGGCATGCTGCTCTTACCTGTATTTTTTTTGTACCTCTGTATGTATGCTAAAATTTCTAAATTTCTAAATTTCTAAATGTTCAAAAGTAAACAAATGATGCCATTGTCCAATAAATGTCCAACTAGCCATTCTAATATGCAGTCATGAATGGGTTGATGTTATTTATACAATTATTACAGTATTGCAGTAGTCTGCATAATAGTAAGTCTTCTATTTTTTGTTTGAATAAAAATTCAAAATAGAAAGCAAGAGTAATATCAGAGGGGCCTGGAGACATGACTGATGAACAAAGAAAATGTTATTTTAGAGCCAGGAATGTCTGCATTGTTCATTCTGGACCTTATTTTGAAATTGTCACATTTTTTAGTTTTCGTGAAATTGGCCAAATTGCAAATTTCTGACCACATTATTAGGTAGTTGAAATCGGTAAATGGGCAGTTTCCTGTACTCAATCGATAGAAAAAATGGAGTTCTAAAGAAATAGCTATGAGTTTGGGCGACTGGAACAATGGAATTAGCCGAAAATAGGGCTCAAAGTGGGCGAAATAGCCGATTTGTAAACAGCGCTGAGGTCGCTAACTTCGCGAGAGCATAATTCCGTCAGTTTTCCATCAAATTTCGTTTTTTTTGGTGTCATTACAATCGGGAAAAGATTCTCTATCATTTCACAAGAAAAAATCTTTTTTTTTTTTTTTTTAAATTTTGCGACACCAGGAGACACTTCAGGATTGGGGGTTGCGACAGTCAAAGGGTTAATAGACCACATCTGGACAAACACCATATCCCCTTCAAAATCAGGCATAATCATGGACAACACTACAGACCACTACCCAACCTTTCTCATAACTAATCTGGGCAAACTACCACAAGACGTTACTAAAGTAACCTTCAGACTACATAACGAGACAGCAGTTAACAACTTTATAGCAGCTATGAATAACATCGATTGGCAAAATGAGCTTGAAACATATACAGATGTGAATGAATGTATAAATAATTTTCTAAAAAAAGCCCAATGCCTCTACAACAGACATTGCCCCAGAAAAACTAAACAGATCACAGCAAAGAGACTGAATAATCCCTATTGCATCCTCAAATCCATTAACACAAAGCACAAATATGAAAAACAGTATAGAATGGGTCAAATAACTAGAGAACAGTCGAGAAATTACTCGTCAGCACTTACCAGCCTGATAAGAAAGTCAAAAAAATTGTATTATGAAAATAGATTACATAACATCAAAGGTGATATGAAAAAAAACCTGGAAAACT